GCCATAATGACTGCAATTCATTGCCATTTTATCTCTAACGCGTCACCAAATTGCGAACACAATGAAGCTGACTAGCATCTGTCCTACTGCAGAGGGTAGGGGATTGGAATTAATCAAATGTCCTAGACTAATGGTCTCCGGATTTGAGGAGCTGTTTCATATGCGTCGCATTTTCGAAGTCCGCCACCGTCGAGCTAATGGGCCTCAATAGGTTTTTCGGCTACTGTCGTCGATGACTGAGAAATCCTACATCGGTCATTGCCTGACTCATTGGCTTAAGTACTGCGTGTGACAGGGAATGACCCTTCCAACCACGTTGTACGGCGTCAGTGTGCATATTCAGGAGTACTCGTAGTGAGTGTGATAAGCAGAATGACATTGCTTTGACCATCGCAGCAAAGAAAGTATCTGCGCCACACCGTACCTTATGCGTTCACAACCGCAACGCCAAAGTCCTACGAGCTCACCACTGGCCGGCGGCAAATAGCTATACTGGTATGCTATTGGTCGTTATGTTCAGTGTGCTTACGAGTCTCACGGATTCACGGATTGATACACTGGATCGAGGCTATTGACCGTTGGCTATTCGCACAATGAGATTAATTTCTCGAAATCTACGGCATTTTCAGACTTGCCACTTCATACTTAGAATGTCTGTGTATAATGTATATGCTCCTGTATTATTGAGAATCATTTACTATGGCGATTTGTTTAAGTGAGCGAATTCTCAAGGTCAATAAACAGACTGAATACGTTACCTGATGATAAAAAATTGCGAATTGTGGAATACGTTGACTCACATACAATAACCGTAACTTTCAGGTATGTTTCCACCGGAAAAAATTCCTCAACATTCTAGAATCTAAATGGCCTTTGGAGATGCAACATACGCGTAGGCACATCCGTGCAAACAAATTTCGGTCGATGATTCTTTGTTGTCAGTAATAATTCCGTGGTGCACATTAATTATTTGCTAAACGTCGTGCACGTTTGTTGGCACGAAACAGGGTTTTCCATTTTAGGTTGCGAATTATGCTAAGAAGACCTCGAGGTTTATCGACTAGGAACATGGAACATACGTCAGTCTTAGCGGACAGCTGAACGAACCTAACCGACGCACATGATTAACACGCGGCTAGGGGTATACGATGCCCAACTAACTAGCGCATCCATCCATCTGTAACGGAGAAAAGGCTCAAAATGGGCGTCACTGAATGTTGAGATATATTGGTCGTTTTGAATTTTACATATGTCCTTCTGGGAGGCGCATTTTCTTCTTCGTGAAGAGTTTTCTTTTGACCAGTGAAGTCCTGAAATGAGAGGAAGATATAATTCGGGTTATCGAAATATCACCATAAGGCGGGTTGCCGACAAACTGGTAAACATACTTACCCCAATATTCACTGCAGCGACTATGCTGTCTTAGATGCCTGTTCACACAATGCCACCTTCAGCGGTTATTTCGCATGCCTGTTTACTGCACCTCTCAAGAACTACGAGACTTACATGCATTGGACCTCATTAACAGACAAACTTTTCGGAGCCGATGGGTCACATGAAGTCATCTTCGTCTCTTCCAGCTAGCCGGTGCTCTACAGAGTTAGTCGTAGTTGTCGGACATTGACTCACGACTGTCGAGTAGTTCCTCTCTGGACCCGAGAACACGGACGCACACAGACTTCCGAGACACTCTGTTCTTCGGTCCAGGTCAACATCATAAGACGCCCTCTTTGCGGACCAGGTAGCAAGCACACCTCTGCGTTTTCTGGATGGGCCCCCAGCTAAGAACAAAAAGTAATTTATTTTCATGTGGACTCACCTTTGGGACAAGCCTGAAGAGCACCACCACACAGTGTGCAAGGTTCACCGTCACAACATTCGGCGTGACATGACACGCGATCCGTTGCACACCAGCGGTCACTGGTAGTAGTCGGCCGGTCACAGAGCACACAAAACCTCAAGTCAGCGTTTCCAGACCGCCATCTGGGTTGAGGTGCAACCGACGGCATGTCGTCGGTTGAAGACTTTGAGGCTTGAGGCAGCAGGATTTGTCCCTGAACAATCAACCGCTTAAAGATGGCGGTGCCCTCCTGGGCTCCAGCCTCTGCGGCTTATCCATCACCCGATTCAGTTGTTTACGAAGGCCCTCGAAAGCCGTCGGCAGTGGTTTGGGAATAAGTGCAAGGGGTACACCTTTTTCCGGTGGGTTGTAATCCGACAGCCAATTTCGGTGGATTGGAAAGCAAACTAAGAAAAGTCAATGATGAATAGTTTTTACTGCTCGGAACGGACTGATCTCGAAATACAGAGAACAGGGGTACGCAGGGGAGGCACATCGCCTGATGGAAAGGTCATATGCATTCTCCAGCACAGGTGTCGACAGTCTGGTAGCACCTGGGTGTTTTGCACCACAAACTATAAGTTAGTTTACGTAGCTCGGCCTCACCTTGTTTGTTCCGACACTTTCATAAGGCAGCCGCGGCGCTCGCGGACCCAAGTGCCTCAAAACGAGAGAGCATGCATATGCCGTCATTCGACAGACTACGTTTAGAACATGGGCGTCACCCTCCAGGATTTGCCGCCTGTCGCAGTGGTACTACGTATGCAGTCGAACTCCCGCATGAGCCACTCGGCGTGCCGTGACACCTTTTGAATGGCGCGCTCCAACGTGTCGGAGTGGTGCATTAGACCTTTAAGGAGGCCGTTCGCATTCTCCAATCGGTTGTTGGTCAGATTACCGAAATGAACCATTCCGGACTGTGCGTGTATGGCCCATTTTCGGGTGATGTACAACCAGCGAGTCGTAAGATAGGAAAGAAATGAAGGATCGGTTCGGCGCAGAAGCTGCAGGCCTTGTCGGAATCTGTGTGCTTGTAATACGATGAAGATAAAACCTACTGTATAGGATTGTCCAGGCGAGCCATGCGATGAAATATGTGCCGCCTATTCGCAGAAAGAATCTACGACCGAAAATACATGGATATTAAATGATACATACGTGCTTCCTGATGGCTTTGCGGACTTGAAAGTAGCAAAGCATAATGTCACAGCCGAACACCACTCTTGCCGCACGCATTTGCGCCGCCAACTTGTCCATTACGAAGGTCCTGACCGGATACGCTTCGCCCATCATTTCTTTGAACAAGC